TCTGCGCGACTTCACCGAGCAACGAAATCGCCAAGGCACTTAAGTATAATTTTTATCGTCCCTGTACACACTCTCCTTTTTCTGTCCTCTCATTTCCACCTCTATCATGTGTTTCCAAAACTTTCCGGTTGTCTCTCGACAACGCTCTAAGGTCACACGCAGACGGCAACGCAATGTTGCTAACCTGCATCCTATCTCTACATCCTCTACTGCACCTCTTTCTTTCTCTGTGGGTTAACAATTTCTCTTTCTCTCATACCCCCCGTCAGGTTGGCCGGGGTGGGGGCACTGGTCTGCTCATTTCTAACAGTTGGAAATACTCAACCCACTCTCCCCTATGCAATTAGAACTCATTTGAATCTAAAAATGAGATTCCTGCAGCCATTGTTCTGAGACTATGTCTATATATGTAACCCTTACAAATGTAAGGGTTCTACAAACTATTTTAGTCAGTATACATACCACTGCATACTTTTTCAATTATAAAATAATTGACTGAATCTTAGGCATCGTATAAGTGGTTTATTTGAGCTCTAGAAAAATACAATAAGAATAATTTGAGTAATAAAAAGAAAAAAAGAAGAGTGAAAAAAACAATTAGCTTTGTATGTCAAGTACATACCGTCACGGCTTGCTACTGTGAGGAGCGCGGAGTGAGGAACGAAGGAGAAGAGGAGTACATCAAACGAGAGTCTTTTAATGAATACAAGGGAACCAGGAAAACACACGTAGCTTAGGAGGTAGACATCAACAATACCGGGCGAGGAAGACAGGGCAGACTACACTTTAAATACTAGAACATATTGAAGATAATTAACAAAACACAGCTGGAAGCAAATGAACTAATCAGGGAACATAATGGGAACAGGGAAACCAAATATGGGCAAGGAAACACATGGGGAGCAAAACACAAAACAAGGAACAGAGTCTGACACATACTCTGATTGCCAGACATACAGCATTCACCCTGATTGCTGGTCATACAATCAGTAATCACATGCTGATGGCCAGTCATACAGATGGTAATCATACAGATACAGCCACATTCCCCACAAAACACATATACACACACACATATATATGAAAAATGTTGAATAAGGAAAAAAAATATTATTTGTGCAAAAAGCCGATGATAACAGATGATAGGTGTGTCACAGCATGCATCACGAGCCGTCACAAGAGAGCGCCAGAGTTCAAATAAACAAGATTCCGTGTCTCTTGGACTTTATGGTCTCATTCTGTTTGTGACACTGTATGCTACAAAACCATGTTGTTTTTTACTACCAAGATGCAGTTTTTTCAGCGCAAGTTATTCCATAATGGATACAAACAATAACTCTCTCCGAAAAAATTAGACGTAAACAAAGGAATACCCATCCATATTACAACGTTATTGTTTCGTTGGACTAAAGGTGCTCTATGGGATGTTGTTCAGTGGACCCTTGCCTTTCTAACTATACCGGGATTTACAGCAGTGGATGCATTTATGACTCGTTATTACGATGAATCTGGTACGTACTGCGTTTTTATTATGCATGTTTTGATGTGTACTGCTTACACAAATTTAGCTAATACATTCCTTATAAGCTTTCCATTGAAAAACAGCAATCTATCGTCAATGCTTGAGGCTTAGACCTTTAGAATGATATATAGTTTGTCAAGATTAATTATGTCCCTTTTCATTTAATCTATTTGTAAACATTGACACGTGCAAACAAAGAGTGGTCAGGTGCGCCGGCGTCCAGGTGCGGGTTATTAGGTTAAAGTGCTTTGCCATGTTGGTGACGACACCTCTCTTGCAACTTGTTTAACTTATCACAAATATTATACTTTGCTTTTACAGCTACACTTTAGAGTGCTTAAATTAGCGAGGAAGTTCCTGGCAGATAGGTGGTGAGGGGGGTTCAAGCATTTTGTGCACCTCATAAACTTTATGACCAGATCATGCTTTTTCCCACTGAGCGTGGAAAGCTGAAATAGTGGCCACATAAACTTTAAGTGTCCGCCCATCATCTAGTCACTCTTGTAAAAAATGAGGAGGGCACATGTGCAGCAGCCCCAAATGGCATACTGTTGATGCAGCTGCCAGTAATCCCAGTGTCTTTTGGAAAAACTTCAGGGGTGGTGATCTCCTCAGCTTGAACACGGTG